CTTCTCCTCTCTCCCCGTCTCTCCCTCCCTCCCTCCTTTCCTCCCTCTCTCTCTCCCCGCCCTTGCTCCTCACTCTCTCTAATATCTCACTCCCCAGTACCCCCGCGGGTGCCGGCCGGTAGACCATCTATCAGTGACGTCACGGGCAGCAGTGCCACATTGAGCTGGCAGCCAGCCAGAATGCCAGCCTACATCAGAGGAGGGGTACGTTTAGAAATAGTTTAGGACTTTTTCTTACAAACTAAGCAGCAGTCAGATGAAGCTTAAAATATAGTTACATGAGGGTAAAATAATTCTAAAATATGGTTGTATATGAGGATAAAAAAATATTATACACTTACATTTACATGTGTCCATATCATAATGATATCTTTTTAGTTTTATACTTACTTTTCTTTCATTCACTTTAAACTATTGGACCTAACCTGTCTTAAAATTGTCTGCTACAGTGGGCTAGATTTTGTTTTAGATCAATGTGAATTGAAGCATATTACGAGATACTAATTTACTGTATGTTTCCATAATTGTTGAACAGATATTACCTTACTCTTGCACTTTTCCATGCTTCTATAATTATTATTTTCTAATGGTATGAACTTGAGTGTTCGGGAGAAAGGCAAGATTTGGAACAAATTGACCTTGCGATTCGTAGGTGAAGATCTCGTACGTGGTGGAGTCACGAGAGCCCCCCAATCATTTGTGGAACAAGCTCTCTCAGAACGTGTCGGCCACCACTTTCAAAGTCACGGACATGAGGCCAGACCAGGACTACATGTTCAGGTGAGAGGGTTGATCTTGGTTATTCTGAACCCAGGCTTCCTTTACTCACTAACGACAGGAATTATGGTCGTCGTCCGCCAACGCTTAAAGATGCTTTATTATTAGGGTGTAGCAGAAACTGTTAAGAAGAGACTTGAAAATAGACTTCTATTTAAACGTTTTAATCAGGGCAAACTGAAACGAGTTCGTTTCCATCGTAGGCACTGCCGCAATTTGGTCCTAGAATAGTTTCAACTTTAATTCTGAACAACTCCTACTTTTCTTTTGTACTCTCTATTTATGTTCTTGTGTGTATATATACGTGTATAAAGAGTGAGAGAGTGGGAGTGAAAGAGAGAGAAATAGAAAGAAAGAGAGAGAAATAGAGAGAAAGACACAGAGAGACACAGAGAGACACTGAGAGAGAAACAGAGAGAGAGAGAGAGAGAGACAGACAGAGAGAGACAGAGAGAGACAGAGAGAGAAGCTTAATATTATTCTTTGTTTGCTGAGAACTGAAACAAAAAGAAACTATAACCCCAATGCTTGTCTTTTTTTTAAACTACCAACGAACAGAGTAAGGGCTTTCAACGACGCCGGAATGAGCGAGCCCACACTTCCTGTAACGCTGACACGAGAACGTGCTCCGGAAGCAGAACCCCGCACCATGAGGCGCAGAAGTTCTGTGGAGCGCTTCAGCTCGGTGGAGCGGCGTGCATCTCGAGAGAGATCTATGTCCATGGAGAGAGGAGCATCTTTACCTCGGGGCTTGTCCAAGGAACCGTCTTCCAAGAAAGATGTCGAGGAGGATGAGATGTTTGCTGGCAAGACTCCAGACACGACACGTGAGTTTGTGCTGTTGAAGTTAATTCGCCTTCAGATAAAGCATTTCTTACACATAGCATTTGCGTTACTCAATTTATAAGATCATATTACTAACTTTACGCGTGTTTGTTACCAATATTATTAAAGTATAACTTGAAAGGGTCGGGAGTAGGGGGTGTGGTCTCTATTTGTAAGGGGAGGGGTGTTATTAATAAACAGTTGCAGTATTATTCCTGTTGGTTTTTTATTATCAGTCTTAGTTTCAGTATCATTTTTTGTTTTATTTTTGCTTTTGCTGCTATTTCTTCTTTGTAGAGTATGATTCTCTTTCAACTATTAAAGAATACAGCAGCTATACTTATGTGTATATACAGCGTACTCCGTTATCTAGGATGAGATTTTTGTATATTCTATTCAGTCTTATATATCTTATTTTAATGTAGATTGTATTAACGAGTACTCATGGTTAAAATCTCCTATTTTCTAGTTCTTCAGTTGTCCGGTTCTCCCTTTTCCGAAAAACTTCTGCTGACGACTATTATGTTGTCTGTATTGTTCCCTTTTACCTTTAACCCAAACAAAATGTTAAAAGTGAATTATTTTGAAATACTGATTTCAGCCGCAGTCCCAGAGTTTTTGGCTTCTGAATCCCCTGAAATCCAACACGGCATTGACGCCCGGCCAGTGAAGATCTCCTTGCAACTGCGGGGAATCCCCTTACCTGATGTGACGTGGTACTTCAATGACAAAAAGATTATGTATGGAGACCGACATGAGGGCTACGTCACACCGACAGGTAAAGAAGGCATACCTCACCACTATTTTGTTCTGCCCCCACTTCTATAGATCAGACTATCACCACCACTATCCCTCTCTCCGACTCCCCCCCTCCCTCCCTCTTTTTTCAACGAAGCCTTTGTAGTCTATAATTTATCCAGATTTTTTTAGGTCCTGTTGTCTCTTCACCAAACACATTATTTCTTTCTTCTTTTTTTTTTTTTAGAATGCTGCCATGCTCTAATCCTTGACGTACTGAAACTTCAATGCTCTGGGGGGGGGGGGGGGGGGGGGG